GTCTGTGGAATGTCTGCGACATACTGGCACACTTGTGGGAACACCAGAGAGAGAAAGGGACAAGACAAATGCAAGTACGTACAGAGGTGTTAAACTATCTCTATGGGGAACGGTTGTGTAGGCCATGTAAGGTATGAAATAGCTGGTGAGAGGCAGCTAGTGAGGTAGGGTGCTATGTTTTTGTGTTCGTGAACACAAAGAGAGAGTTTGAGTAACTTTGTTGAGGGGGCCGTAAGCAGGGGTCAGCTGATGACCGGGCTATACATGTAGTCAAACTATTACTTAAAGCACTGATGGTTCACGGGTTTGGTCACTATGACAAAACTGAAATAAAATAAGATGAAATCAAAAAAAAAGAAAAGGAAGAAGGAAGATTTTACCTATTTAAGTTTTTTTTTTTTTCTAAGAGATATGGCTAAGCAGGTGTCACTTGTGGGTGATGCTGCAATAGACTTCATAAACCTAGGGTTAGACTGTTAGCTAAACTAGCAGGGACCCACCAAATACCTCGTCAAAAGAAAAAGGAAAAGAAACAGTGGGAATTGTTCCTAGTTCTATCTTGGCTTACATTGTGTTGAACAGTAGCTGCCCTTCAATGTATTAGGTCTGGCACTGAGGAGTGAGGAGAAGTAGAGAGGAAACAGGGATTAGGCTACTAATAACCTGTATAACTCATTAAGGAAACAACAGTTGCTAGAACTACTGTAATCCTATACAAAAAGCGAAGATGGTGATGGTAAAATAACTAAAATAAGGTAAAAGTAAAACAAAACAAACAAAAGGGGTCCTAATAGCTGGAGGAAATTAAAAGGGAAAGTAAATTAAAAAAATAAAAATAAAAAAATAAATATTTGATTGAATTAAATCTCAAATTTAATACAAATCAATTTAGCTGAATTGGTACATTTGTGCTAAACAAATGTAAATAAATGCAATAAAATTAAAGAGAGGTAGAATAAAGTCAAAACAAAAATAAACAATAACACAAGTAAAAACCAAAGTATGTGGGGAGGGACCGGCCGAACTGAATCCAAAGAGGAGGTGATGGCATCAACAGGAAGTGACACCAGGAGTGACGGAGAGAGAGAGAGGGAGAGAGAGGTGTGGTTAGAAAGTTACACTTTACACACCTATCTAAGTGTTAGTCGGATGCTAACAGCTAGCAGTTGAGGTAAAGGGCTTAGCTTAAGAGTTAGCGTTGGTTACACGCAGTTCTTTGTTTACACACAGGTCTGTGAAGTGGGTGCTGTTGTCAGATTAACCGGAAGAGTCTGCTCACACTTCCGGGGTCACGTGTTGCTAGGAGACCAATGCAAACTCACACCAGGTGCAAGGGGAGCAGAACTTGCACTGCTGTGAGCATGCATGGGAAACTCATGCGGGGCATAACAGTCAGTTATGACATGTCCCATACAAATTCATTCATTAATCAAAACAGCACATTCACTTCACAGGCAATGGTGGATTCGTAGTTAGCTACGCTAGAATAACACCATTAATTTTACGTAAATGTTTCACATGAACGAATCAAAATGAAATACAATGATACGTAACACATAATAAGGCCTTAAATTAGTGAAATGAGGAGTATCGCTCATCGCTTTGCTCTGGTGGCGGCACCCACTTGAGCTTGTCTGAGTTGTGTTGGTAGAGGTTTCGCTGTTGGGCATGTGGGCCCGTTGCTCCATCCAACGTTGTCTGGCTGCTTCTGGGGTGTAGACCGGTTTTAAGGGATGCTCCTCCCTTGGAGGGGTCTGATGCTGTGTTGCGTCAGGCAAGTAGTCAGAAGTTTGCCCTTCTCAGTACTCCTCAGTTGAGGTTTGTACAAGGAACTCTTTTGCTAGTGTCAGCAGCGACTGTAACTCAGAAGTAGACGTGTCCAGCTGTCCTCGTGTAGCCTCTGAGAGTTGGCTGCAGCAGGCTTGTTGTAGTTTTTGTAATCCGCTTTGACAGTTTCAGACTGCTGGTACAGGATGTTGTGTGCCTCAAGGCCAGAGGTGATCCTGAGCAGATAGCCTGTCTTGTGCCTCAAGGCCAGAGGTGATCCTGAGCAGATAGTCTGTCTTGTGTGGTCACATTGTGCAGAGTTCAAGCATAAAAGTCCATGTTTTGCAGATGGGCAAGTGTTGTGGCCCTTTACCTCCTGTCTGAGGCCCTTGAGGGTGTGGGCCAAGGAGAAGATGATGCTGATCAGCTCCTGGTTGTCCAGGCTTGGTGTCAGGTGTCCATTTGTGTCGCAGTCTCGCTGTTCCTCTCTCTGCCGTCGCAGGTCATTGGCTGCTTTGGGCTGAAGAATGAGTATCGTACATTTAACTAAATGAAACAGAGGTTTAGTGTAAGCTGTAGACCCTGTTCTAAAACGGCGCTGATGGTTTTACTCAGGTGGTTAACTGACTCTTTTCATAGCTTCATTCTCTGGTTTTCATGATGGTTTCATCCATCAAGTCTCATTTGCCCTTTCCCCTATACGAGTTATTGTTTGTTAGACTAGTTTGTGTTAGTGTTTAGTTAATAAAACTCTTGTGCACAAATTACATGAGTTTCTG